TGACTATACACCCACTTACCAGATGGCACCCTCCCATAGCCTCCCTCCTCCAACTAGAGCCCTTATACTCTGTTATCCCTGTTACTGTCTGCTGTGTTGTCAGCACCCCCAGCCATTGCCCACTACTTGACCTTCTGGTGAATCTAGTCAGCCTATCTAGAGGTCTTTGTTTTAGGAGGGTCAGCTGTTCCTCTTCTAGTAGCAATCAGTTGTCAATACTCCTTTAGATAAGATTGGGGTCTGCTGTTCATTTTCCCAGTTCTATGTTGGGTTACTATCTGGGAGTCCCTTGGGACACCCTGGCCAACAACTCAAAAGAAGGTATCTCTTATCTGGCATTGCTGCATGTTATTTAGCCTTTAGCTAAACATATGGACTCTTAAAGAAATTATACTGACCCCTTTACTCTTTGGTTATACTTTTCTTTTGGATGTTTAAGGCCATACAGTTGGCCCAGATAAATAAATTTCTTTTTACTCTTAAGGTCGTTTGAGGATCTGTTCTTCAGGGGTCACATGGGCTTCGGAGGAGCCCCTGGTCCTTTCTTTTACCAGTTCTGCCTATGTGAAGATAAGCCAAAGGTCCTGCTCGACCATGGTTGGCTTCGCTTGGAAGCATGGAGGAAGTGATTCCTCTATGTTGACCCTCTTCTTTGTAGACTGAATACTGGTTCAAGTCTATCTTGTAGGGTCTCCTCAGCCTCCTGAATCAAGAGGACAGGTGAACCACCACAATTACAGAACATTTTGAGATATGCTCATAGTCCCCTGGAACTAGTCAACCTAGGAGGGCAAGGAGCAAAAACTGTCCTTTATGTCCCTCTGACCAAATTAGTACAGGCCTCAAAGTATGTTTATTAAACATCCAAGAAGGTTAGTTCCACCAGTGTGGTACTTTTAATTACTGTGTGTCATGTAAATAAATCTTGGGCAAAGAACAGTTGTTCTCAGATAAACGATTTTCTAAGCCTTCCACCATGGTTTCCCCATTTAAGGTGCCCCCATTTTTCCCGTTTCTCCCTTAAAAATACCCTTCTCCTATGGTCCCACCTCTCTTGAGCTCCTTCTTTCCCTTTATCCCCAAGGTTACTTGTATAACCCTCCCTCCCACCTCCCACTTAAATAGCCCCATTTTTATCCACAGCTCCCTTAGTAATACCTGTTTCCTACTGTTCTTCTCTCAGGTTCTTTCTGTTCCTTTACCTCCCTGGTTCCTTTTCATTATCCTAGTTACCGTAGTTATGTCTGGATACATACACACTTATCAGGATTTGGTGCTAGGATCCACATATGAGGGAGAACATATGTTATTTGTTTTTCTGAGTCTGTGTTACTTCACTTAGTATAACAGTTTCTAGATTCATTTACCTGTAAATTTCATTATTTCTTCCTTCTTTCTGCTAAATAGAACTCCACTGTATAAATATACCACATTTTTGTTAACAATTTGTCAGTTGAGGAGCACTTAGGTTGCTTCCATTTCTTAGCTATTGTGAAAAGAGCAACCAGAAACATGGATGTATATGTGTCTCTGCAATAGGATGATTTCTTTGGGTATACGCCAAGGAGTGGTATAACTGGGTCCAATGGTAGGTTCATTTGCAGGTTTTTAAGAGTACTCCACACTGCTTTCCATAGGGGTTGAACCAGTTTGCAGCCCCACCAGCAGTGGATAAGTGTTCCCCTTTCCCTACATCCTCTCCAACATTTGGTATCATTTGTTCTCTTGATCTTAGCTAGTTTGACTGGGGTAAGATGAAATCTTAAAGTGGTGTTAATTTGCATTTCCTAATTATTAGTGATGTTGAACATCTTTTAAGATGCCTCATAGCCATCTTTACTTCTTCTTCTGAGAACTCTCTATTCAGCTCCTTATCCCATCTTTTAATTGGTTTTTCTTCTTGTCTTGATTCTCTGTTTTTTGAGTTTGTTATATATTCTGGATATTAAACTTCTGTCGGATATGTCACTGGTGATGATTTTCTCCCATTCTGTGGGTTTTCTGTTTGCTTCCTTGGTTACCTCCTTTGATGTACAGAAGCTTTTTTGTTTAATGACATCCCATTTGTTGAGTCTTGACCTTGTTTCCTGAGCAATTGATGTCCGATTTAGAAAATCCTTTCCTAAACCTGTTGGTTTTTGCCAATATTTTCTTCTAGTTTCAGAGTTTCAGGGCTTTACATTGAGGTCTTTGATCCATTTGGAATTTACTTTTGTGCAAGGTGAAAGATAGGGGTTTAGTTTCGTTCTTCTAGAGGTGGAGATCCAGCTTTGCCATCACCATTTTCTGAACATGCTGTCTTTCCTCCAGTGAATGTTCTTGGCCCCTTTGTCAAATATCAGGTGGCAGAAATTGCATGTACTCATATTTGGTATTTACTTATATTTGGGTCTTCAATTTTGTTCCATTGTTCTATGGGTCTAGTTGTTTTGATGACTATAGCTCTGTAATACAGTTTAAAATCTAGTATAGTAATCCCCATCCCCCATTGCTTTTAGTGCTCAGGGTTGTTTTGGCTATCCGAGGTCTTTTCTGCTTCCATATGAATCTTAGGATAGTTCTTTCCAATTCTGTGAAAAAAGTCATGGGGATTTTGATTGGCATTGCATTGAATCTATATATGACTTTTGGTAGGATGGTCATT